CCTTCACATATAGACCCTATATCGGAGCCATCCGCGGGCACCTGTGTCATCTTTGTTTTGAGTCAGTCAAATGTACGACGAGCAAAGTATTCCTAGTTTCTACGGGATAACCCCACTCGGCAACCGATGACCTACTCGGTGCAGCCCGAATACACCTCTTCTCGAACTCGTGCATTTCTCATTTCTTCTCCACGACCTGTGACGCACCGCCTGTCGTTGGGAGAAACATGAAGATCTAGAAGTAGTCCTACAGCCACTGTTAGTATCTTTATGCATAGTGGAACAGGCACTTGAAACTCACATAGATCATCCACTGTAGACCAGTCAGAGTGCCAATCATGACGATGCGCACTGGAAGACCATTCCACAGTCCGGAGAAGCCAATATCTTTGTAGATGCGGCTCAGGGCACCGCCAAACGCTTCGCCGGGCGCACGGTTGGCATTCAACTTGCTGACCATGACATCGGCAGGGTGAGAGACGATGGCGCAGAGGATACCGGCCAGATAGCCACCGGCAAAGGAGACGCCGGTCTGGGCGCCCTTGCTGTAGTCGCTCTTCTGACCAGGAAGGCGGTCGTAGATCATTTCGACAATGGTCTCAAAGGATGCAAACTTCATCATAGTGTAGGGGATCTGACGACCCCAGAGAGGGTAGAGGCCCTTATACAGCCCGGACACGCCCTCCTTGGCCGCGATGGTGCGAATGCCGTCGAGCGTGCCGCTGTAAGGAGACGGGATGCCGCCCTGCATGCGCACCTTGACAGCTTCAAAGGGACAGAGGGCAAGGTCGGCGAGGAACTCGGCCGAAGCAGACGCAGTCAGATACAGAACCGTCTTGTACTTTTGGGCATTCTCGGGGCCGGCAATGTCCGAGTATTGCTTCTTGAAGAACTCATACCATCCATACTTGAAGGCGCCCTGGGCGGAGTAGCCGAAGAGGGTCGGGCTCCAGCCGGTGAAGATGCCGCGCACGCCTTCGCCGCGGAAGATCTTGCCCCAGGCCTGGAAATTGCCCGTGTACAGCTTAGAGTCGATCTGGCGGCGCGTCTTGACGAGGTCAAGCGGAGTGACGGCAAAGTGCGTGAGGCCCTACAGGCTGGTCAGACGGAGGTCAAGCACCACGTTTGAGGGGGGGAGGCTCTTCTCTACTCACACAGGCCATCAGGCCGCCAAAGGTGCAGGCGGCATAGTACCTGCCAGAGTAGAGCTCGATCCGGCCAGCCTTGGCCTGGGCGGCGGCGGAGGCCTTCTCGAACTCCTTGGCCGCCTCGCTGCTGAGTTTTTGGGCCTTGCCCTTGACATCATCGACGGTCGAGTAGGCGCCGTACAGCTCGGGCCGGGCCTGGTACTTGCTCGGGCCGGGGACCAACGACGTGCGCTTCGGAGCGGCCGGCGCCAGAGGAGACGCAAAGCATGACTGGAACGTATCCCGTTGGGGATACAAAAACGACATGATTATCGAGATGGCGCTGTTCTCACGGGAGAGGGACAGACTTTGGTGTCTGAGAGCGAGTTAGCGGTCGAATGCCTTCCGAGTGATGTATGGGCTGCGACAGACGAACAAGGCAGCGGGACACGGGTTTTCCGGCCACTAGGTCCGTGTGCGTGATTTCGGGAGAAGGTGACTCTTGCCTTAAGTCCGCGTCGCAAGAATGCTACAGGTAACAGGTGACAGGCCAATTGGGCAAGGGTCCCCAATTCGGAAGCGTTCGGATGGGGAGGGTTGTCGTTCGGCACAGGTTTGGGGCTCTTGCGTGTGGGTATTACGATGAAGGCCTCTCGAGGCTGAGCGAGCAGCTTGCGACGGGCAATGGCATGGGGAGGAAAGTGCGTGAGGTCAGGTCGGGCAGGTACGACGCTCGCTTCCTTCCTGCACTTTCTGAGGGGAGAGAGCTCTCAGAGTGACATCACAAGGCTGGAGCTGGGGGCGCCTTGATAGGTTGCGGGATGCGTGTCACACAGGAGACGACGGCGCAGGGCCATTGGTTGGGTCGGAAAAGGTCGGCGGGGGTTCACCGAAGGATTCCAGCTGCGCCGTGTTTGAGGCAGGGGACTGGGTATCTTAGGTGCCGTATAACCTTAGCGTGAGCTATTCATCGGGAATTGTATGTGATCACCTGCGAATATGGGGTTTCCTCCAGGGATGCTCTTGGATTTCATGTCCACCCGTGTTCCGTATGAATCTCGTGAAGGCTCCGATGGGAAGACCTACCGGCCTGGCCCGGACCGCACGGCAATGAAGCAAGCTCTTGGCGTGTCATGCACGTCTGTCGTGTCACGCGATCAAGCTGCTTTTGTGTGAAGCCGATGGCAATGTACTCTTTGGCCAGCGATTCTCTTGTACGGTCTCCTCATCAATGAGCTGTCTTCATTTGTTTAGTTTGACGGGAGATGATCGGGAGCGGGCAATAATGAATCTATCGTGCCCGGCGACCCACTATGGCCGGAGCCGGCTCCGGCCCCCCTCAAGCTTAGCGTGGAAGCCGTATATCATGTGCCGGGAGCAGGAATATGTCGAATTAGGGGTAGTAGTTTGAATTTAGGACAGGCTGAATGCCATGTGTCTAGCTCACAGTCACAGCAACAGCTTCCGGTCTCATCTGTTGTCAAAACTCCCATCACGGCAGCTTGACAGCTTGACGGGTAGAAAAAGATGTTGAACACCAAGGCTGTGTGGCTAGCCGCACCTCCTGGGACATAAACCCGATAGAGTGTCTCCATTCCATGTCTCTGCTACAATATTGAAGACGTATTGGACATTGTGACCGTCGTCGTAGGAACCTATTCCCTGAAGTGACGCTCCTGATCATAGGGCCAACCTCGTAGACTCAAGTTCCAGCTTCTGACCAAGGAGTTCCTGAGCAAAGAATGACGTGATGCCTACTTATGGCTTTCCAAGCATGGTCACACATCGTCGCCCTGCAGCCGGAAGTGACGGGGACGCTGCCGATATAGACCCAACACGCTGTGGTGACCAAGTGGCGGTCCTCGGGAACATGACCAAGCTGACATGGACACTGAGCATTTGACCAGCTGTGATTTTGATCTTCTTAGAGAAAACCAAATACATACTGAGTCCTGCAAGACAAGGACGGCTCCCAGTACATTTGGCGCTTGTGATAACGAGCAATGCCGGCCAGGGGACATACCAAGCCTCCCATGTCCAGCAGTCGACGTCCGTACATTATTGCGTACAGGACTGATTTGGCTTTCAATTTGTTTGAAAATATATTCTATCTCAGATGGGCTGCTCCGGGCTAAACTTCATTCTGCCCTGCGACTCACA